AAACACCTCCCACTAGAAGACACTCTCCACAGAAGACACTCCAGCACTAAAGACACCTCCACTAAAAGACACCCCCAGCATAGAAGACACCCAGCACTAAAGACCCTCTCACACTAGAAGCACTCTCAGCACTAAAACACTCCAGCACTAGAAGACACTTCGCCAGAAGTCACTCTCAGCACAAAACACCTCAGCACGAAGACACTCTCAGCACTAGAAACACTCTCAAACTAGAAGACACTCCACACAGAAACACCTCACACAAAAAACACTCTCACACTAGAACCCCACTAAAAAAATCCTCTCACACTAGAAGACACTCAATTTTCCCCTCCTTTAAAAGTGCCAAACAAAGTAATCTTTCTCCTTACCTGCTTTATCTATCCTTTTCTTATTCTCTCCCTCGTCTATTTCTTCTTTCTACTTCTTCCGTATATTCTCTCCACTCAACTCTCTCTCTCCTTCAATCCTCACATTTTCCCCTCCATTTCTTTCCCTCCTTTTGCTTCCCCCTATCTCATTCATCTTAGCTTCCTTATTACCCCTTTGCTTTCGTTATCCCTTTCCTTCCTTCCTTGTCCCCTCCTCTCTCTCCCCTTTTCTTCCTCTCTTTCTTAAGTAGCCTCACCTTGCTTACCATTTTTTCCCTTCCCTCTTTTCCTTCTCGCGATTGTTATTTCATTTTTTTGCTTTTACGACACACACACACACACACACACACACACACACACACACACAAAACACCACACACACACACACAACACACACACACACACACACACACCACATACACACACAGCACACAGACACACACACACACACACACACACACACACACACACACACACACACACACACACACACAAAACACACACACACACACACACACACACACACACACACACAGACACACACACACACACACACCCACACCCCACACACACACACAACACACACACACACACACACACACGCACACACACACACACCCCACACACACACACACACAACACACACACACACATACACAAAACACACACACAGACACACACCACACACACACACACACACCACACACACACACACACACACACAACACACACACACACACACACACCAACACACACAAAACACAAAACCCCGCACACACACACACACACACACACACAACACACACACACACACAACACACACATACACACACCCCACACACACACACCTCCTCATGACGTTCGCTAATTACACTTTTCCAACGGCAATAGGGGTTTCTTTTGGATCAAAAATGGATCCCAAAAGGATTTTTTAAAAAGGGGATAGAGGGAGAGAACAGTGGTGCCAGAGAGGGCACTCTCATCGTTGTCTCCAGTAAAAAGGGGATTTGTTCCTGTTTTTCCCTTTTCATTTCATTTTTTTTTTTTTTGCTGGGTGCCCAGTGCGCTTTTAAACTTGTGGGGAAAACTGGGGAGAATGAAGGGGAACTGGGGAGAATGAAAGGGAACTGGGGAAAATGAAGGGGAACTGGGGAAGAAGGGAAACTGGGGAGAATGAAGGGGAACTGGGGAGAATGAAGGGGAACTGGGAAAAATGAAGGGAACGGGGAGAATGAAGGGGAAACGGGGAGAATGAGGGGAACGGGAGAATGAAAGGGAACGGGGGAGAATGAAGGGAAACTGGGGAGAATGAAGGGGAACTGGGGAGAATAAAGGGGGAACTGGGGAGAATGAAGGGGAACTGGGGAGAATGAAGGGAACGGGGGAGAAATGAAGGGGAACGGGAGAATGAAGGGAACGGGGAGAATAAAGGGGGAACGGGGGAGAATGAAGGGGAACTGGGGAGAATGAAGGGGAACTGGGGAGAATGAAAGGGAACTGGGGGAATGAAGGGGAACTGGGGAGAATGAAGGGGAACTGGGGAGAATGAAAGGGAACTGGGGAGAATGAAAGGGAACTGGGGAGAATAAAGGGGGAAACTGGGGAGAATGAAGGGGGAACTGGGGAGAATGAAAGGGAATTGGGGAGAATAAAGGGGAAACTGGGGAGAATGAAGGGGAACTGGGGAGAATGAAAGGGAACTGGGGAGAATGAAAGGGAACTGGGGAGAATGAAGGGAAACTGGGGAGAATGAAGGGAAACGGGGGAGAATGAAGGGGAACTGGGGAGAATGAAGGGAAACTGGGGAAATGAAGGGGAACTGGGGAGAATGAAGGGGAACTGGGAGAATGAAGGGGAACTGGGGAAAAATAAAGGGGAAACCGGGAGAATAAAAGGGAACTGGAGAGAATAAAGGGGGAAACGGGGGAGAATGAAGGGAAACGGGGGAGAATGAAGGGGAACTGGGGAGAATGAAGGGAAACTGAGGAGAATGAAGGGGAAACTGGGGAAATAAAGGGGGAACTGGGGAGAATGAAAGGGAATTGGGGAGAAATAAAGGGGAACTGGGGAGAATGAAGGGGAACTGGGAGAATAAAGGGAACGGGGGAGAATAAAGGGAACGGGGGAGAATGAAGGGGAACTGGGGAGAATGAAGGGGAGCTGGGGAGAATAAAGGGGAACTGGGAAATAAAAGGGAACTGGGGAGAAGGGAAAGGGAACTGGGGAAAAATAATAGGGAACTGGGGAGAATGAAGGGGAACTGGAGAGAATAAAGGGAACTGGGGAGAAATAAAGGGAACTGAGGAGAATGAAGGGGAACGGGGGAGAATTTGAAAGGGAACTGGGGAGAATGAAGGGGAACTGGGGAAGAATGAAGGGAAACGGGGGAGAATGAAGGGGAACTGGGGAGAATGAAGGGGAACTGGGAGAATGAAGGGGAACTGGGGAGAATGAAAGGGAATTTGGGGAGGGGAAATTGGGGAATGAATTGTCTAGGAGAATTGAGGAGTGAAGGGGGTGAGGGGAGACTTGAGGAAGATCTGTGTGGTGGTGGTGATGTTGGTGATGGTGCGTTAGAATAGTGGTGGGGACGAAGTAGTGTATGATATGGTGGCAGGGTGCTAGTGGGGGTGTTGGTGTTCAGTACCTGTAACAGGGGC